AAWWCAACATRWTRAAAACAAAACAAAAAACAACAACAACAAAAARACATGGCTTCAACTGCGCTTTCTTCAATCCCATAGTKCAYCACGCMKAACATKGCATGACGTCATTRGGCGAACGATCGTTGATCTATTAAATTTGCTTTATTTTTCAATACAATTGATTTGCTCATTTATTCATTTATGCTTTGAAACGTCAACTTTTTAATTAAACACTTTTTAAGATCATTTGCATATTTCAATTGTCCAATCTTGATCTGTTGAATAGACGAAACCTAATTCAACACACCGTGATTGGTTCATTATTGCTACCCAGTATGCGTTTCTTTATCTCCGATCTGCAGCTCATGTGAAAGCGAGTATCCTTCGTTCACTTYTGAATCTATTTTACGACTCCGGCGTAACTGCTTGAAATACATTGGCGATCCAATTGGTTGCAGACGCGAGCAACGCATTCCTACCCTGAGGTCAGCCACAGTTGTCATTTTTGAATGGTTTAATTAACTTCTCATTGAACTTTTGTAAAGTATCTAGCCACCACATAAGCAATGATCCTGCTTGCTAAATATCCTGGGTTAAAATTGGGCAYCTAGTTGTTGTTTTTTCAGCGAGGATCAAATTTAGATTGGCGACAGGTGAGGCACCACCGTTAGAATCGTGCTGATTTCAATGATTGAGCGTTTTTTTAGTGGATCTTAAAGGACACAATGAAAAACCTCCTACGACAATGGCAATTTTTCACTTTTAAGGCTTTTTAGTAGGAGAAATGATCCGGTCTTATATTTTTATTTCGACGCGAATTTTTCATGTGTGGGTTTTTGAACTGACAGGGAGCTTAAAACTTGACGAATGAACTGTAAGCCCCTCTTGAATGGTTCGTCAGGTCTCATTCGATTTCATTCATTGTGAACGCGTCTTCTAAAGATTGAATAAAGTTTATTTTGTTATTAGTGAGCTTTTTAACGTTCTATACAAAAGAATATCCCTACGATGAGATTTCGAAACGTCACTAAACCTCAGCATGTACCGAAAGACCTTTGTTCACATACTATACTATGTTTTTAATAGAAAAGGATAACAGCTTCCCTGGACGCGCCAAACCACAACTGTCGCCCAGAAATCCCCTCAAGCTCAAGGTAATACTTCCAAGAGTTGATATTTCAARAAGAATAGAATTGGACGAGACTAACGTGTTGCGTACAATGAACAAAGAAGAATGAAAAACGGAGGTAAGACGGAAAGAATGACTTTTAGTTAGTATTCTTTGTATTTTTCTGGTTTGTTATTTTTCTTTTATCTCATCTGTGAAACAGATAAACTGTTTATAGGTTTACTAGCTGGATCTTTCCGGTGTCTAGAAAAACAAATTGGTCCCAGCAATCTTGAAATCATAGCGATTGTAAATCTTCGACGATACTCGATCGGTTTCGACGTGAGACAAATGACCCCATTTTTCGCTCTTGAAGCTCTAAAAATCTCTCCAAGTTAAGTAATAAATACACAATCCATAAGGAGGTTTTAATTCAGATTTTATTTCTCTGTTCTTATATAATCGTTTCCAAATAGGGTTCGTGTGATAAAATCAGCRGAGCTTCCTGTGACATTAGTGTCTTAGTGATAGTAAAAACTTCGATAGCATTCATGTAGCGAAATTCATGATGACATCGAACTTATCAGATCTGTCATGGCGACATCTTGATGTGAAAATATCTCTAAAAATATCTGTGTTTCTTAATTAAAGTGACTATTCTCTTCACATTCGTAGACATTGAAGTGTTTTGATACTTCTTTTTCAACGATTTCGATTCAAATATCACTGGAATTGGGAGAATTGGGAACAGCGCGAGGCGTATTGACACATTTGAGCATAAATTGACTCGGGTTCGTATTAAAGATAGTAGGACATCTTCATCACACTGCGTTAGAGTTATGGTTGCTTAGTAGCTGGCAACTTTATTCTTTCATGGGTATCTTATAAAGCTGAACGCCCGTGAAAAGTCAACATCTGTTACTCTGTGTTCGTTCAGTTTTGTCAAGAGTTGAACGTAGGCGATATCATGTAACAATGCAACGCATTACAATGCAAAGCTATGTATTTCACAATGGTTAAAGTCTAATACTTTTATTTATTCATGTATTATTTAGTCTATAAAAATAGTTAATTAGCTTTTCCTGCCCTTGATGAAGCGCGCCATTTATTAGAAGAGTTGTTTTCATGATCGGAAATACGTCGATAATACTTAACTGAAAGCTTTTTCTCCAATCAGTCAATCAACAATCAATCAATCAATCAATCAATCGATCGATCAATCAATCAATCCATCAATCAATGGATCAATCAATCAGTCAATCAATCCATTAATCAATCCATTAATCAATCAACGGATCAATCAATCAATCAATCTATATATCAGTCTATCAATCAGTCAGACAGCCTGTCAATCAATCAATCATTGTCACAAGCATCTGCACTAGATGTGTTCAAAAATCAAAGGGTCTGAATGAATATGATAACTACAGAAAAACGAAAATATTCAGTGCTATTGCTATATTGTGCCATATTTTTCATTACAGCATCATCAATCACATAATAAAGTTAGGATATCGGTATCCGCGAAGGGCCATCCATTTAAGTTCTGTACTATACAGGGTGAGTTTCATCGTCACTCAAAAGAAAAAMGATGATCTATTTGTACTTGTCGATAAAGAAGAATTGACCGAAGCAAGTGTGAAGTCTGTTTTTGTACAATCAYCCGACTATAAAGGTGTATTAGCCTAATATCTATTTCACAGTTTAAAACCTATTTAATCACTTAATCGTGTAATTTCGACGTCTTTAATAAGCTAAAMTTGAGGTTGAATGTCCTTTGACATGCTTGATCCTATCTTATAAGACGTTTGCTAAGCGGCTGTCAAGTTTACTTCAATACATACTCGGACGTTTTGACAACATGACATTTTTTTATATATCAGTTATTTTTCTTTTCTATTTTGAGAAACCGGATAACTTTATTCGCTGTCGGATATGTATCTCGTTGATGAACGGACGAYTCTAAGAGTGCGTGGGTATAGTGCCAATAGTGATTCATATCACAACACGTCGGTCTGTCATGCGTCGGTATAGCTTCACTGTTGTTCAATGGTGGTAGGACGGATGCAAAATATAACCTTTTAAGGGATCAACCATGTTTCCTAGGTTATAGGAATGAACAATGTCGTCTAGTTACCCCGTAACTTTAGAGGCAGATTTTTATTTTGTCTTTTGGGACTCCACTGGTCAAATTTTCGGGGGAACTGAAGGCGCAAGCGTTTGCGGTACCTCCTYACGTTGTGTCATCCAACATGCCTGCGTAGTTACCGTTGCCACGTAGGACACGTGATTGTACAAATCCATAAAAWCTCCGAGTATTAGAGGCTTACCTAGCGTGGGTTGTTAGGATGATCTAAAAAGGATTAAATCGATCTTTCTTTTATGTCAAAAAGTAAGTACTTGTTGAAGTTTCTCCGTGAGCGSGAGCAAAACTGAAGSTTTGTCCACGCCAAGGCTTTTGAAATTTGGTACACCTGCATATTTGCCTCCCGATGGCATTCGACTTTTGCTGTCTGCAATTCTTGTTGCAATTGCATGCGCAAGATGTACGTAGTTAATTGTGCGCATCTTGTAATGTTGACCACGAGCCGCAGATAGCCTGARTGGTGTCTTTCAAGGGAAAAATTGTCATTTAAAAGGTATATAAGCATTTATTTCTCTGTGCATTTTTTTACGGAACGATCATACTCTTTCCTTTTTTGCTGCAATATAAACTTGCAATTCAGTGCATTTCTAGTGCACTAGGAAGGAAAATTAGTAAGAGTACATATCATGTATTATATCGGAAGCCTCATCCTTTCATCTTCTGCACACGATTTTTAAAAAGTTAATGTCATTGAAATCACTGGGAACTTCAGTGTTAGATTSCCTCTTTATATTATKAACTAATGGCGGATTGTTTTCGAAAGATTCGTAGTTCGCTTTGTTATTTAACTGAGTTTTAAAAATTACCGTCGTATTTTTTCCACAGTTATCATGAAGTACTTTTGATATTAGGCTGCGATAATTTGTCATGATGTCTGCTCATATACAATAATGAAAGTTGACTGAGTTGCTAGAAATGTTGATAAGTTATCGAGCGGTCTCATGGTGTTACAGGATGCACCTGCTCCGCCATCTCTATAGAGTCAGGAGCAATTTGAATTTATTAGTAAAAAAGAAAGCAAATTAACTCTTAACACAGCTTGGAAGCTTTGTTCAAGCTTTTCCTGCTTGCTTTGGAAAGCATTTGGTGTCTCTGGCGTACATGGAGCTAGTTTTTGATGCATTGAGACCTTAAACATTGGCCCAAAACTGTAAATATCAGAGAAAAAAGAAAAAAATGTTATCCGATAGCCATACAACGTAAGCCATTAACATGAAAAGCTAAATATCAATTTATCGCCCAAAAGTTTACAAAAATTGGCTTAAGTTAATCTAATTAAGTAATCATTATTTATTTGGGAGCCTAAAGCAAGATGTATCGAATCTTGACCGGACCAATGTGGGCTTTTAAGAGGCTAGTTAGATAAATTTCTGCTCCTTTGTGAATTTTTTATTGGTTACCTTAGGCTTAAACTATTATAAATATAGCACGTATATTTGAAAATAGAAATGAAGATATGAACTAGAAGTAATAGAGTAATCTCGCCCACCCTTCTCAATGCTTATCAATTGTCTTTTATCTACCATCAACTCTTAAGGTGTCGTGTGAATAGCCATGCATTTGGTCGATGGCGTGCGCGCGCGGCGGACCATATTTTGGCGGGAATCTGCGGAGTTCCTGTGTTTATGCGTCAAATATTTACGATTTGCCAGATGGCGGATGCATTTAAAAGTGGGGTATATAAATAGTTAGAGGATGTTTCAAAAATAGTGATATCGCACGCTTAGATCGCAGTTAACCATACATATGTCAAAACTACGCTACACTTGGTTCCACTTTAGATTTCCTGTTATTTTAAAGTCATGCTTTTGTCGGCTTTTTTTTCAGGATATTACCCGCATATGTGATTTCCCCGTTTACAAATTAGTGAAAAATTTCGATTACATACACTTAGTTAGAGTACAAACACTAAATCTGTGCAACATATATACCACTAAATACTGCTAAATTATGCTAATTCTATTGTTTTCTATTGTTTATATTAATTAACACTATTTTGTGGTAAATAGTGGAAAGTGTTGCACACATTTAATGTTTGTACTCTACAAAGACCTTTGAGAAATCAAAACATTTGTATTTAGTAAAAAGGAATACATTAATTATAAAAAGAAAACCTTCAGACTGAGTGATCTTCTTTTGASATTTTTAATTTATTACTTTTATTATAGTTAAAATGCTCTTTTTCCAGTGACAACGTTTCTGCAATTAGGTGTATAAATATCTAAGTGCTAATGCTTATCTTGGATTTCCTTCATCAAATCTTCAAAAGGCGGCGCAGTCTGATTTAAACCATTGATTATACTGTCATTAAAAATTCACAAGTACTTTTTCAATATAACTTTTACATATCTAATGATAATACTGATAATGTATCTGGATACGCTAAACAAGCTTAAACTTGTACGCTGATATATGTTTTGACTGAATTATTAGTAATTCTATATATTTGTCGCCGCGCTTCCCTTCGCCATTTTCCAGCTATTAAGATTCCGTGACCAGACTGCCCAAACAGTAAAACGAAATCAATTTCGCAGTTTACAATCTGTAAATCTAAAATTCGAGCGGGATTCATTTGTATTYAAAATGCGCGCTAGCTTCGACCAAACAACTGCCAAGGAGAGGATAAGTAWTCCGTTTGAAATACTTGAACTCGTAAATTTAAGTCGGCGTTTGGCATTTTAAAGTATAAAAATCTGTAAATTGCGAAAAAGGTTGCCATAAAGGTTGTAAATTTGATGGAAATATGATGTAAGTGTCCAAAATGATGTAAATTTGATGGAAATGATTTACATCAAATTCACATCATTTTGGACACTTAGTTACATCATATATACATCAAATTTACAACCTTTAAAGCGCGCGATTTTTTCCAGTGTTTACAGGATTGAAACATGGAAATGATTTCGTTTCGCAGTTTACAGTTTTCTCAAATAAATATGTAAATTGCGAAACCATTTCGTTTCGATTCGTTTCGCAATTTGCTGTAAGCCACTCAAACATTGTGCTTTTAAACAATCACCATAAATCGCTTTAAATTAAAAATRGTTTAGGTAGTATATGCCAAAATCTCCTTATCAAATCGCACAAGGTCGCTCAATGTTATAAAGTACAGTCCTGGGTTCCAGGGTTTTTGAGGATGTAAGAAAGATTCAAAGACTGTTTTTCAAAAGAACGATAAATCCAGCTAATAATTTATTGCTATAAATCACAATCAATAGATTACTGAAACGTTAAGGAATCAATTAAATGCCATAAATATGAAATAAAGTTCAATAGAAATTTATATGACAACTCCCTTGACATTCCCAAAGTATGTAAGTTGTTGTTGTTTTTGATGTTGTTAATGATGATGCGGTTGATGTTGCTATTTTTGATGTTGTTCCTGCTGCTGCTATTGTTGTTGTGTTGTTATTGATATTGTTGATGGTGATGCCGGGATCAGGTTGTTTTGCTTGATGATGATGACATGTTGTTGTATTTGATGCTGTTTTTATTTGACGCTGCAGCTTTGTTGATGGCGATGATGTTGATGCTGATAGTCAAAGGTGTTGTTGTGACGGGAGTATGTTTTACTCCTTCGTGCGAAAAACGGAAGCTAAGTCGACAATTTAAGCCGAACGAAATCCTTTTATATGTTAATTGATACCAATTAGCTATTTTTATGATAACGATCAGTTGCGCGTGCACATATAGATGATATATATAAAACAAAAGAAATTCGTTACTGAACATTACATAATTTTGTTTCACGTTGATAGAGGCAGCACGCGTACTGTATCAGTCATGTTATTATTAGAATCGTAAAATCCTAAAAGCCCTTTTCTGATCGAAGTATAGATTTCACTCATTATGACTATGTCGAAAAAATAGGGGTAGTGATGACATCTTCGGTAAATATATACACCACACTGCGCATGTCCAGGAAAGTGTATATTCAACATACATTTGCCCCATGGTATCTACCTGGTCACGATACTGCATGAAGAGATATACAAATAGTCTGACTAAAATGACGGCCATTGAAAATCTAAATATCTCTTCCAATGGATGAAGCTGCATCCCAGCGAAAGAAATAGAAGAAAGACTCCTTTGAATAGAGTTATATTCTGTTTGGTTGCTTTCCGTGCATGTAGGGTCCAGCTGCATGAAAGGGTATTTAATGTCAAACCAGTTATTTATTTARTATTTCTGGCGTTGGGTCGAGTCGTAACGAAGGTGAATATAACTAGAAGCTCGAATTAGGTAAGGCAAGAAAAGAACACACTTATTCCCAAAAAGAAAAACGAGGATTTTCGATTCCAGTCTTTTTCAGTGATGCTTTTTTACACAGCACTTTAAGTGCTGATACTGCAGACCATTATGTACAGGATTATRTAGGTGTACTTAGCGGAGCACAGCTGTTCAGTAATTTGAAGTGAAAGAGACCGAAGCCGCGGTTTAAGTTTGATTGAGTTGCCTACATGAATCTTAATAAGGTTCATTTATGCTCCGACGGAATAGTATATGCAAGAAGTTTTAGTTGTGTAGTAAATGTATGGTTGCCTGTGAACAAATAATAATGAAACATTTGACTGAGGCCATGCTCTGTATTACTGAGAGTGTTATTTACCTTAGATAACACTCTATTCGCAGGATAGCTCTGTATTGGAACAAGGAACCGTTWACCGTTAGGCAAAAGTCGGTGGAATAAATACAGCTACTATCCAATCAGATCGTCCAGGTAATTAAATGACAAACAAATGAAAAATATAGAAAAAAGGAAAAGAAAAGAAGAAGAAAATGGAAAGAGAGGGGATAAATATAATAATGAAAATAAATGAATAACATGAAAACTGGAACATAAAACAAAATAAATTAACTTAGAAGACATTAAAGTTTTTCGGTGAAAATCAATTTTATAATCTGGAAATGTCGTCTAGCTGGAAAGATCCAATATGGAGAAACAACGATTCAGAAGGTTCAGAGATACCGCCATCAAAGCTTCGATATTACATATGTGGTTTTGAAGAAACTTCACAAATGAATGAATGGCTATCTTCAAAGAAAATAAACAACAGGAAACTGTTTTTGGGATTCTTTAGACGTATGAAATAAAA